CGGGGAGTTTGGGGGTTCAGCAGTTGCTATGGATTAGATTTGGTGGTACCAACTTTGCCGCATATTTCAGGATTTAGGGTGGGGGTGTAGGTGCGTCTACAACGGATATGGTGATTGTGCTTTGTGGCTGCCCACTTCTTTTTTTTTTTCCTTTTTTTCCTTTTTTTCCTTCTTCTTGTGTGCAATCAAGTCCTTTTCCCCCGGCCATCACGCCACCCGGCTACCACGCCTTCTGTACTTCCACGTTCTTGCACACCCCTTCGCACCACGGCTATCACGCCAACAGGCTTTCATACCACATTCAAAGATACCATACCCGAGCTATCACGCTTCATCCTAAAGCAGCAGGCTATCACGCCCATCGTAGTTCCTCCATTGTACCGTTGGCGGCGACCACGCCGCTGGCTCTTTTATTTCCCAACCACGGGACCCCGCGCGCCCAAGGCACCGACGCACAAAGCTACTCAACACGCTAGCGTTCACGATCAAGAGAGTGGCCGCTGTGTCTACGCGCGCAACGTGCCGGACGGAGATGGACGACAACCTCAGGGGGGATCAGGTCAGGCTGTCCCTCCCCCCGGGGAAGGCGTCGCGGACGGAGGAGGAAGTAATTTTTTCTCCGTCAACGATGCACGAGACCGAGGGGGTGCGCGAGCGGCAAGAGGGGAAGATCAGCGCAACACGATGCGTGAGCTGGTCGATCTCTTGAAGCAGGCCTTCGCGACATCAACTCAGGACCAGGGGCACGGTGCCCATCCAGGCACGGCTAGCAACCAAACTTTAGAGCTGAGGCAGAGAGAGATAATAGATGTCCCAGCATGAAGTGATGATTTTCTGGAGAGCAGATCGATCGAAGTTGCATTGCGAGTGTTCGCGAGTGCATTTGAGGCGTGGCTGGAGAATGAGGGACTTGCTGGTGTGATGAGGGGTTCAGAGGTACCTGTTGGTGCAACTGGTATGGACTTGAACTGGTTGAGGAGCACGTACGGAGAGGAGAGAGTGAAGCAACCGAGGAAGATTTGGACGTTCATGCTTGCTAAGATCACAGCTCAACCCGTACAAGCCCAAATATTGGCTGCAGAGTCACCCCAAGCAGGGTACCGTGTCTTTATCGATCAATACAGCCAAGACAAAAGCCAGGAGAGACAAAACCTAGATGACGCATGGAATGTAATAGGTCAGAGGCAAGGAGAGAGTCTAATGGACTATTACGGTAGGGCAGTCGCGTTGTGGATGAGACTTCGCTCGTATGGGGATTACCGGGATGAAAAGTCAATGTGCAGGCACATTGTCAGGGGATTTCTCCCAAGGTTCGAAAAAACCAAAGACCGTCTTCTGCTTGATACGATGTTGTCGAGGGCAANGGTGCCCATCCAGGCACGGCTAGCAACCAAACTTTAGAGCTGAGGCAGAGAGAGATAATAGATGTCCCAGCATGAAGTGATGATTTTCTGGAGAGCAGATCGATCGAAGTTGCATTGCGAGTGTTCGCGAGTGCATTTGAGGCGTGGCTGGAGAATGAGGGACTTGCTGGTGTGATGAGGGGTTCAGAGGTACCTGTTGGTGCAACTGGTATGGACTTGAACTGGTTGAGGAGCACGTACGGAGAGGAGAGAGTGAAGCAACCGAGGAAGATTTGGACGTTCATGCTTGCTAAGATCACAGCTCAACCCGTACAAGCCCAAATATTGGCTGCAGAGTCACCCCAAGCAGGGTACCGTGTCTTTATCGATCAATACAGCCAAGACAAAAGCCAGGAGAGACAAAACCTAGATGACGCATGGAATGTAATAGGTCAGAGGCAAGGAGAGAGTCTAATGGACTATTACGGTAGGGCAGTCGCGTTGTGGATGAGACTTCGCTCGTATGGGGATTACCGGGATGAAAAGTCAATGTGCAGGCACATTGTCAGGGGATTTCTCCCAAGGTTCGAAAAAACCAAAGACCGTCTTCTGCTTGATACGATGTTGTCGAGGGCAACCATGCAGGAGATGCTGAGGATGGAAGAGCACGAGCTGAGGTACGAGCGGAGAGATGGAGAGCGGAAGGAGGAGATGAGGCACGCCCTCGTCGCTGCCGGCGTGGGCCGGGGCGGCGGGGCGGGGAAACCAGCCGCTGCAGGATCGGAGCAAGGCGGACATCGACCTCAGCAGCCACAGGGGTCGTTACCGCCACATCAGGAACATCAGCAGCAGCCATCGCACTTCTGTCAGCTCCACGGCCCCAACAGCACCCACGAGACCTCCGAATGTGAAAAGTTGCGCAACGAATTCATCGCCCACTACAACGAGTTCTGCGCGTACATGAGCGGGAGGCGGGAGGCCCAGGGGTTTGTTTTCCCTCGGGGCGGAGCTCAACACTCGGGGCGGATGGTTGGTGGCCCATCTCGACAGCAGCCGTACCAAAACGAACAAGGTGCAGGCTGGAGTCGGGGCCACTCTCCTGCGCTGNTGAGACTTCGCTCGTATGGGGATTACCGGGATGAAAAGTCAATGTGCAGGCACATTGTCAGGGGATTTCTCCCAAGGTTCGAAAAAACCAAAGACCGTCTTCTGTTTGATACGATGTTGTCGAGGGCAACCATGCAGGAGATGCTGAGGATGGAAGAGCACGAGCTGAGGTACGAGCGGAGAGATGGAGAGCGGAAGGAGGAGATGAGGCACGCCCTCGTCGCTGCCGGCGTGGGCCGGGGCGGCGGGGCGGGGAAACCAGCCGCTGCAGGATCGGAGCAAGGCGGACATCGACCTCAGCAGCCACAGGGGTCGTTACCGCTACATCAACAAAATCAGCAGCAGCCATCGCACTTCTGTCAGCTCCACGGCCCCAACAGCACCCACGAGACCTCCGAATGTGAAAAGTTGCGCAACGAATTCATCGCCCACTACAACGAGTTCTGCGCGTACATGAGCGGGAGGCGGGAGGCCCAGGGGTTTGTTTTCCCTCGGGGCGGAGCTCAACACTCGGGGCGGATGGTTGGTGGCCCATCTCGACAGCAGCCGTACCAAAACGAACAAGGTGCAGGCTGGAGTCGGGGCCACTCTCCTGCGCTGCCGGGACCGCCGCGTGGCCCAGGATCCGGAGCTGGAGGACAGCTGCAGGGGCGCAACTCGGGGGGGCGTGGGCATGGTGGTTACGGTCCTTACCCCCCGGAGAACCGAGGTCGTCAGGTGGGCGGCCGTGGTGTCAATTATCCGCCGCCCAACGTTCCTCCCGCGCAGATTGCCAACGTACCACGTCCCTATTTTCCGGCTCATTTCGCCATCGGAGGCGGAGAACCATCAAGCGGCGACATCACCTCTGGATGGGAGNGCCGCCCAACGTTCTTCCCGCGCAGATTGCCAACGTACCGCGGACCTATGTTCCGGCTCATTTCGCCATCGGAGGCGGAGAACCATCAGGCGGCGACATCACCTCTGGATAGGAGGCCACGTTGGCGCCCGGATCTACACCCAGCTGGACCCCACCACCTCCTGAGGCAGGCTACGG